GTTTATGGTTCGGCGGACTCCTGCAGACTTGTGATTCGCGCTGGAGCACGTTTGTCATCATCCTTGTTCGTTGACTATTAAGACTGGTTTCAAACCCTTCACCTTCAAGGAACTGAATATGTTCTAGAAGACTCGAATAGTTTTATAAAAAGGGAAACTAAAAGGCAAACAAGTTGGGTGGTTGCATTAGAACGATCGGCGAACAGGTCCATAAGAAACGTGCTCGACCGCTCATGGCAGAGTCGTAGTTCCCCTTCCACCCCCAAAAGCTAGATCAAAACCGATATTGTCCTAGCCACTGGACCGTGACTGCAAAGCGCTAGCAACTACGGACATTTCCGCGCTAACGTAGTTCGGGGAGACCACTTGGTCGCGCCTCTATGTCTACTTTTCTAAACAGAGCTTACTCACGAAGGGCGGACGATCAGTTCAGACTTCACGATACGCGCGTCACCGCGAAGTTTAAACACAGCTTAAACTGCTCATCCAACAATGGGCGAAACTTTCGGTGCACAGGAGAAACACTAATCCTGATCCTAGAGTTAGACTACAGCTGTTGTACAGCACTACCTTGAGAAACGCATATGTAGGTTCCAGAACTCCCCACAAGGTCTGGTTGTATCCACTAGTAAGATTCTGGAGATTTAATTTCGTATAGAAATTACATAAATAATCTATATATTCATCAGAACCAGCCGATTGCAAACAAGAAATAGGAACGTGCGGCGCGTCAAGCGTTCCTGATTGGCGATTGCGAACAGTCACCAATAAGAGGCGCTGCTTGCGCGCGCTGCACGTAGTAGGCGAACTCGGCAGACTATGTGGTCGGATGCTACCGTGTATTCGAACTGTTCAGAATAAAAAGCAAGCAGATAAATATCACAATACAAAAATTGGACCAGATTATTCGCGAAATGACCAGCGATAACTCATATAGCTGCGTAAAACATAACCTGTACAACATAATCAGATCTGACCCTATTGGCATAAACACGTAATGGATACGAAAGATAAGTGAATGTATGGAAGTGTCAGTGAATCTTATTTACAGAAACAGCTAGGCGGTTATGAAAACGTAACTACACTATTAGAAAACGATAAAAGTAATTGTCTGTCATTGGAGCCTTTTGCAGGAACGAGGGAATCGGCGAAGAGCTCGGTGATCTTCACAAACTCTTCTAGACCGTTGATCTGATGTAGAAGGCAGAACAACCCCGCAGTGAAGGTTCGTTCACAAATAGCATCTTTGCGGGTACCTGAACAAAACCTTTGAGAAAAGGAAATCAAATACGGCCTTTTTGTGCATAATGAGGCTCATTGGGAATGTCATATATGAGACAAAAGCGGCAGCGGTACGATCAGCATTTGAGAACCTAATAAAACAACCCTTTCGGGCTCATACTTTGCGAATCGCGGAAGGGGAGCGCCAATGGATCAGATGGGAGTTAACAAAATTAAATTCCTAGAACTCGCGGATTCTCCATATCGATAGTTATACTTTCCTTTGCAGTTGGGGAATATCCACATCCGCAAACTATGAACGCGATTTAGTTAGCGTAACAATATGCACAAAAGAATGTTGTAACAGGAAATAACAAAGAAAATCATATTTTCTCCTTCTATATGCGAACAAGAGAATGTTGGTTGGGAGATCCTTGTTGCGGCGACAAACTGGTATATTCTAGCCAGCTGACTCGACATACTGTAGCAGCCCCACGTTGATCAAATAGACTTGGTGCTGAAGTCGCGCAAGTGTTACAGCTCTTACCGCTCTTTCCCTGCAATATGAATGTCTCAGTAAGCACCCTCCCCCCACCACAACCTTAAAGTGTCAAATAAGCATCCTGCACAGACCTAGTTTTAAGCTTTCTTTCGCATGAAATAAGTTATTGCTCTAGTCTAACGACACTTACCATTTAGCGCACTCGCCCGGAAAGCGTGAGGTGCGGGTTCTACTCCCGCCTGGGGTACGACTTTTGCCCATAACTCAGCATTCTTGTGATAACTTACCATTTAATTTGTGCATTGTGACGAACAAGGTTAGCAGCAAATACACCACAGCATTGGATGGCACTGTCGCTCTTGTTTTGTACAATGCCAATGATGGAGTGCACAAACCGCAATCTCTCAGTAAATTGACTAGAGGAGCCACGTCGATGGGAACATCATCTGGTGACGAGACTAGATACCTGTAACAAGCAATATTCCGAGATTTACTAGTGTTTCAATCCAACTTTCACAAGCAGAATTAGGAAATGCGTTGCAATAATCACTTATCACAAGCAGACAGGACTGAGAACAAAGGTGCCGCATGAAGTTGGCAGTGTTGCTTCTTCGACTGGCACAACATAATAAGAAGGAGAAGTAGCTGTCCAATCTGAATCAGTAGTCATTGGGATTCACTTCACGTAACTGCAAAGACACATCCCTCAACTGCAGTTTGTGGATGGTGGGTAAAATAAAAGTTTGTAGGTGTTTCACCAATAGAGAGAAAAGTAGAGGAACTTCAAAAAATGTTTTGAAGGAGGCCTGCTTTATCGGAAGTGTGGCCGAGCATGCGGTGGATGGAGACGCAGAGATGCTCAGCGTGCGTGGATGCAGTCTTGTTCGCAGAAGTGGGAGTGACGCAGTCATGTTCGAAGAAGTGGGAGTGTTACGCTCCGCTTAACAAACTGTGAAGAGCCGCCTGACAAACTCTTTAACTCACAGCAAACACAGCTATACCATCGCCGCGGGCGACAGAAAAAATAAACCATGAGCAGTGACGGTGAATGACCATTGGGGGTGAAGCCTAGACTGAAGAGGGCGTGGTCAGAGTGAAGCTAGAAGCTCTTACGCGTCCTTATCAGGGAGAAGTGCGCACTAACAAGGGAATGGTTTGAACTTCCCATGGAACTTTGAATGGAGACCTAGGTACATCGATAGAGCCTCGAATGCTGATTACGAATATGCAGATTAAAAGTGCTACGGGGACCTCCCAGACGAGATCTGGGTGGTCAAAGTTTGAGTTCTGGCTCGTAAGCGCTGCTGATCGATGCCTCGGCAGTGCCACCGTGGCCTCGTGGTAATGGTCTCGCTTTCAAGTCAAACGCATGCGGGTTTGCATCCGGTTGGCGCGAAAATTTTTGCTTCGCTCCGTATAAGAGCTTCAACTCTAATTTTCGAAATTCTTCCGAATTTACGGCCCAGCAGGGCAAGTAGATCAAGTACATCAAGTATACGACGTACTCGATCTAGTATGGATGTGGTCATATCTGCCTCTCTGAACATATTATCCCCGCTCCCACATTCGACCGTTTTAAGCGAGAAATTCGTTCTGGAGATTTCGTCTCCCCTGACCCACGAAATATCACATCCTTCGACGAAAAACGCTCGTCTGGCCAAATGCGATTCTGGGCAAAACTTTGAATTGTCGGATGGGTAATATGTTCAGAGAGGGCAGATATGACCACATCCATACTAGATCGAGTACGTCGTATACTTGATGTACTTGATCTACTTGCCCTGCTGGGCCGTAAATTCGGAAGAATTTCGAAAATTAGAGTTGAAGCTCTTATACGGAGCGAAGCAAAAATTTTCGCGCCAACCGGATGCAAACCCGCATGCGTTTGACTTGAAAGCGAGACCATTACCACGAGGCCACGTGGCACTGCCGAGGCATCGATCAGCAGCGCTTACGAGCCAGAACTCAAACTTTGACCACCCAGATCTCGTCTGGGAGGTCCCCGTAGCACTTTTAATCTGCATATTCGTAATCAGCATTCGAGGCTCTATCGATGTACCTAGGTCTCCATTCAAAGTTCCATGGGAAGTTCAAACCATTCCCTTGTAAGGCACTGTTTGACGGCTATCCACCACCAGAAACTACATTCTCCCTAATTATGGTGTTTACTTTGTAAACTGAACAAAATTTTGGTGCACTGAAATTCTGTAAAGCTCAAAACCCTCCGAGCAAAGGTATATTGAAGCTGCCAGAAGATAGAATAAATCAAAGAATAAATCAATACTTTGCAACTGCACGTGGACAGGGCAGAGTTTCCCTTGAATTTGAACGAGAAGTTGTTTCATATTGGTTAGACTGCATGAATACTTCGTTGAAAGTGAACGATCCAACGGAGATCGAAATATTACTCAACAGTTTGAACATGTCTAAATAGAAGTCATAGCGCATAGCGAAAAAGTGGTGGTGTGGGGGGAGGGATCGAAAACAACAAGAACACTTTCACAAAGATCAACTATACTCTTACCATTAATACTATTTTGAATGTCGTGAGACAACACAGCTCGCAACGAGTTAATTGCAGCAGAGGGAATCCATTTCTGGAGAAAATTTGCACTGAGATGACACATTTCATGAAATGAGTTACCTAACACGCCTCACTAAATTGGACCGTACCTCAACTTGATCGATTGTTTTCGAAGAAAGCACATCCTTTTTCGTTTTGACATCGCGCCATGTCATACTGCTTTCCATATAATGGTTGGAACTAAAAGCGCTTCTGCTTAGAACGCAAAAAATACGTAGTTGAATGGAGAAACCACAACAACCTACTATGGATCTGAATGCTTCAACATCAAATTGAAAATTTAGAGATAGAGCAGGAACCGCGGTCGCGTTCTTTCCACTCGTTTGCTGAAAACATAAAAGCTAAGTCAAAATCAAGAACACGATAACTCGACAAGGCGTAGGGTCAATACGCCGGAAAAAGGGACACTGGCCTCCGCCCTTCAACGAAGATTAGTAAAGAAGGTAGGCCTCGTTCCTTGATGGAACTACCAACAGGACAGCACTGGATGGAACAGCTCGGGAGGTGTTGTTACAATCCCTGGATTTACGAAGAAGCAAGCTGCCTAGGGACGATCTGTACTTCATGAAGGGAATAGTCCTTTCGATTCTGCTGTTCTCAAGCACCACCCTCATACCCTGCAGATAAAGAACGGTTGTATTGGGGCTATACTAAAGTGAACGCGGCTGAAAACTGGGCTCACGGTTGGGGAATAAAATCAAAAAGAACTAGCTGTTCGCTGATTATGACAGGACGTGCCAGCGCGTTTGGCGCCGCTCCAGCCCCTTCCTTTTATTTTTTTTTCTTTCGGCAAGCAACAAGACCGCATCATATCGTACGTATCAGCAGTCCTTCAACCAAGTAGTGGAGAACGGGCTCGCGGCGTGCCAATGCAACCACATTGTCACGCCCCATCGCCCGCAGCGAACAAGACTGCAGAACAAGTAAAATAACAAAAATACCGGCGTTAGTCCTCTTTCCATTAAATCCTTAGCTGTTCGTCGCAAGACAGCATCAACCTCCTCGCGCCACATATCATGTCCGTTGATATCTACATGTTCGCACATATAAATGAATGCACGGTGAAATGGATGAAGATTCAGTGAAAGAATCTTGAGCACGTCTGAAATCAAACATTAGCCTCTGAAAACTGATAGCTTCCAATAAGCTTCTCCCACCTTCGAGAGATGGATTTTTGTCCAAGATCGTTAGCAAAGAAGGAAGTTCTAAAGCTAGTTCACGACGAATCCCTTCTTCAAGCAGCTCCTATAAGAAGTAAATTATCAGTAACACATCTATTTTAACATGAGAGCAGCATACTTTTGGGTTGATGCTGATTACGCCCACTTTCTTGAGGGCCATTCTGGAAACACCAAGGCTCAGGTTAGAGATGGTGTATGTCGATTCCGCTAGGCGAAAGTTGTCATCAAAATCTGCCATCTCCCTTGCCTAAAGTGAAACAATGTACTTCATCCGGATAATAAATACTTTTATTGAAACCCTATAAACAGGCAGCGGTATCGGGCATATAAGAGATAGGACATTCAGTGCCGTAATAACAGCTCATGGGACTATAGTGCGAAAAGCCAATCTATGAAAACTGGGGTTCAACAAGAGAGACTTTGAATTCCGAAAAATGTAGCCCTTCAGCCATGTTGCTTAAGCGTACAACAAATTATGGCGCTACCAGATCACGACAAGCCGATTTTTTTCAAAAAAAAAAAAAGACCTCAGGTAGAACTTGAACCAGTACGCCAGTGACCCGCTAACCGAATCAACTCTCATTAAAAACAGTTTCTGCGCTCAGGCAAATCGTAGGCATTCTCCCTTGTGTGAGTAGTCTGATCCTCAGTTTCTAAGACTAACCCTCCTTTGCGGCTTCACGGTAAGTAACAAAGGAGCTGCTGTCTTCATAAGTGGCAGTTCTGACGCCTCCCTAGTGGTCCCGCCCACCAAAACTCAGAGGCTGCATTTTTTTACACAGTGTTTTTCGCTTTTTTACCGTTAGATAGTACAGAAGAAAGTGAGAAGCAAGAAACGATTAGTGAGCCGGAGGCGCACTACATCGCTTTGCCAGCATAAAACGAGCAGGTCCGGACAATTCATATAGTGAGGTTGCCAGGGGGTCCTTATGGTGTTCCCCATAATTTTTTTCCTCGGAGACTCTCTGGACGACTTTGGGTTCGTTATTGAACGCCACTACCCACTATATGCAATGGCGGGGCTTGTCTGTAACTCTCAAAAAGTAGCAATTAATTATGTAGAGTGCTAATGATGTTAATGAGCAGTATCAAGCAAAAATATCGTCAAACAACTCACAGCACTTTTATCCAGGACTGGTTCCCATTGCCGCTGCAGAGCAGGACATAAAGTGTTCTTCAGGACCGAAAATAATTTATTCGGGATCGTCTGCAGAATAGCACGTAACTGCCGCTCCAGATGGTAGGAATAGGCACGACCAATCAGACTGTAAATTTCCCTTATAGGACTTCTATGGAAACGATCACGAAGAAGAGAACGTACTTTTTCCTTTCTTTATTTCCGAGTCGTTCACACAAAGTAGAAATAGAGATCGATAGTTTGAAGAAAAGTGCGCGAACAGCATTAACATTAGACGACTCCAGTATTCTACGTTGAATGCGAGGTGTCCAATCATCTTGAAACATCAACATTATTTTAGCTCTTCGCACTTGCCCACAACAAACTACAGGCATTACCACAACGGTTTTACCCAGAATAGGCCAAAGGTATGATGGATCCGCGTAACGTTGCGTTTGTCGTTCATCTTCTTCACGCACACTGTATAATGCAGAAAGACAATCCAGCTGTGTTTCCAGCTTTTGCAAGTGCTGAGCCACAGCAAGATTCCCACTTAAATCATACATCTGGTCAACCTAAACGTAAGGATCTTATTGAGAACGCAACCGACAGCGCGAATCTTACTGAACGAACATTTACATAGTTTTGTCACCGAGGTCATACCTGGATAATTCTTCTCTTCACTTGGATGACAGACTCAGCATTCATTTTGTTTTCCGTATCTAACTCTTCCAGTGTTTTCTTTATTCGAAGAAACCAATCATGTAATTTCGCTGAAAAAGGAGCCATCCTACTATATATAATTCGCTAAGTATGTCTGTGTGTGTGTGTGTCTGTGTGTCTGTCTGTCTGTTTGTCACGAAATTCATAGCGCCGGTCCCAGTAGCAGTGAGACATTGATTTAAGAAGTGATGTAGGGGTGTGACGGGAACACTATTGGTGGGTGACAGGAAGTGATATCAGTTGATAAGATCCGATAAGAGGCGTTAGAAGGGGGAGGTCACCATATTCATAACGGGTGACAGCATCAGCTAGCTCTTGATTCTAAAATATGATATAGGGCATTTGCCAATAACATTAGTGGGTCACAAAGACTGTAAGCTGCTGATAAAATTCGATAAGGGGCGTTATAAGGGGAAGGCCTTTTCATAACGGGGACAGCATCAGCGAGGGTTCATTTCAGCAAGTGATATAGAGGGTGAGATGGGAACATCAACGGTGGGTGACTAGAAGCGATAACTACTGATAGGGGCTGATAAGAGACGTTCAGTAGTCGTAGCTGTTCAAAAGGGTGCAGCTGTTACATTACCAAGTATAACGATTTAGTGGCGAAGCCAGGTTGGCTCGGGCGAAGCCGGTCGTGAAACAGACTGTCTAAAGGAAATTATGAAGGATGAATTGACTTCAGCTTATGAAGAAGTACAGGGGGGGGGCAAAAAAAAGTCATTTTGCCTCCATGACTTTCAAGGCGCTATAAGTTACACTTTATTAAATTTTTATCGGACATTTTTACTACCATATTAAAGAGCACATTAAATACTATAATGATACTCCGCCACAGCCTTCTGGAGGAGCGCCATCGAGAGATTCGGCCCGCGCGAGTGAGTGGGTACCGGAGTTGAGCGAGATCGTTGATTTCTCCGCCACTGTAGACCACCCTGTTGAGCTCCGCCCGAACCGAGTAATTGAGGGGGTTTAGTTCAGGACCCCGCTTAAATACTCCATCTTTTCCAGGTACTCAACGTTCTTCCATTCCAAGTAGGCGAAAGTTTTTCCAACGCCCTTCGATTAAATGTGTTGTCACCCAATCCTGTAGCAGTACAAAGTTTCCAAGAAGGTACGGGCGACGACATGAAGATGGGATATTCTCCTCGAGTTGCTCGATGTAGCCACCAGCGCACACCCTCAGTCTGGGGCACGAAGAAATATCGTTCATCATTCAAGTAGGCCGGTCCACACATCAACGCGGCCGCTTGGTGAATGGGGTGAGGATGGATGTCTTGGACGCGTAAGCGACGTTGCGGAGCTGCTCCGAGGGTGTTTGAGTTTGCAGATTAGGAGTACTGGGTCCCAGTAGCTATCCATTGGGTGGATTCGCATTCAAGAAGTTCCGCAGCTGTTTGGAGGCCACGTGAATTCCAAAGGCGTTCTCCACTCAGGCCGCGACTGGAGATGACTTCATATTTTGGTGTACATGAAGGTGAATGGCGGCAGCCGGCTCCTGCTTATAGAGGAAGATCTTGGGTATCTTCCGCCCTGTACTCATTCCATTCTCTGTCTGGGCCTGCGAAAACTTGCTCATATGTGACTCGCCGAATGGCTTTCTTTTTTTGCCCCCCCTGTATTGATATCAGAACGAATATAAATATGTATATCAGAAGAAAGACATAGTAGAAGGGCTCGAATCAAAATGGAATCTTGTGCTGTGAATTATCCCTCTTAAAGACAATAGTGTGCGCTAAATTTTGAGGAAAGTGCTTTCCGTAGGAAGGTGAGGTCCGCCAATGGATGTAGCGTGGCACACTTTTCGCTCAAAAGTGTATGGGAACGGGGTTGAGGTGGTGGTATCCGATTATCGTCTCCACCTCCTGCGCTATACCCGATCTGCACCGTTTGTGTCGATACCAAGGTGCCGTATTGGAGACAACCATGAGCGGTAGAGAGCAAAAAGAAGTATGAGAGCGCAGATAAGTAGTGCGTTGGGCTACGATTATGCGCGTGGCTCGCCGGCAGCGCATCAGTTGGTTACCAATACCCTTCAGACCGTCCCCCTGCCTCTCGAGCGAAGAAACTGGCACGATACCGCAGCTGCCGACCCGTTCAACTCACATACGGTAAGAACCAGGATCCACGGAGGTGAGTGTCAGTTCGTCGTCACAGACACAAAGTATGCTAAGTTGCAGGGTCCATGGGCCAGATGGGCAGATCCGCAGCAGTAAAAGCGCTCCAGTTGGAATTGTTCGACGGTGAAGCCGGAGGCTTACTAAGATCTTGACGACCGAAGTGGCGCAGGGGACGCTCCGGCATGCTACCGTGAACAGTACAGAATAATGGCAACAAACCAAACGAGAGGCAGCGCAAACAAGTAGTGCGTCTAGCCGTGCAACGTGCTGCAGGGGACATAAAAGATACTCAGCTATCGCAACCCTTCAGTTCATGTCGTCACATATCCGAGTAGCATTTAGAATTCGAACGGCTCATTATAGGCAGCACACAATATTATGGAGGGGAAAGCCGCATGACCGCATTAGTACCATACACATTCATCGCGACTGCCTCATACGGCATTATCCTCAACTACCTTGCTACTTCTACTTACACACCAGTTTCCAGAGAAAGAATTCGGCTGGTTGGGGTCGTAAAGTCGCTGCAGAGCGGGAGGATGTTCTACAACCTTAACTAGTGAGGCCAGTGCTGAACTACACGAGCCAGGTGCTTCTCAAAAACCATATGCCCTGATTAAAGGCCCGAACGGGAGATATGCAACACTGCACCTCCAGTAATTGCACCCGCTCCACCGAAGCTTCAGAATACGGAGAAGTTGACTCAAGAAAAAATAAGAAAGCATAGCCATTTTGAAACACCTCACTCTTTTTATCCTTGTTTAGCGAAGTGAAATCCTGAGAAAATAACTGCGCCATTTCAGCTATTATTGAGCAGGTAGCAGTAGTGAACTTTTGAATGTTTTCCTTCCTGTTTCGCAAGCATTCTCTGTAGGCCTGCAAAATATTTTAGGAAATCTCCACATCACTCTTCCTTCAGAGAAATTGATCTCACCGTGAAGAAATCCATTTCAAAATTGGCTATTCGCAGAAGAATTAAAAGAGCTTGTGCATCGAACTGTGAGTATATTTCTATGCCTTGCACATAGGAAGATGCCTTTTTACTTGTTGTCTTGGCTGAAAACCATAATAATTTGAAAAAAAACCCTATTTCTTTCTATATAGTTAGTTCTGTTCCGGAAGTAGTTGCGACAAGAAAGGCTTACTAGGTGACGCACTACTATTTTTAGCGGGCCTTGATCGCATGATATCGAAAATTGGGCCAAAAAACAAGGCGACATCGTAATCGTGAACTGCAAACATCATGAAACTCACACATATGAAGAATCAACCATTTTAAGGAGGTGTTATACTGCGAAATCAGACGGATATGTGCGTCGAAGTCGTTGGGCGAAATTTTACCCTTCAAATAAGCATATAAGTTTGAAACCGCTGCAAATTCCGCGACAATGGCATGAGCGGAGATCCGCAACTGATTTTCGCTCCTCTCTCTAACACAGTAAGTAGAATAAGAACGAGAGAAACAATGGTTTTGAGTCTCCACCCATTTCTTTATCGCGGAACGTGTATTTAAACCTGACACAACTAACCTGCGGAATGCTAAGCTTCCCAAGTGCATTATAATGATAAGACGCCATGCTTTTTGCCTTATTAAGATCCACTTGAGTAGTGATCGCTGTCAAAGCAGCTTTATATGACTGCCAATAATCCAGTAAATTTACATTTAGACCGAGTCCTAGTTGTATGACCTACAAGACTGATATTAAACCCACCAATTCAATGTACAGTCGTATTCGCTGTGGTTGAGAGAGCCTCTCAGCGGGATTGGTTTCGTTCCTCACCAGTTGCTGAAGCGGGTAAGCGAGAGCAACAAGTGAACAACGATGCGAACGATATGATAGTCTTGTCGCTTGCTCGTCTCACAAATCGGTGGAAAATAGGTTTAAGTAGAGTCAAACCAATCCCGCCTGACACGCTCCTTCATCCGCAGTGAACAGGACGATATTTGAGACAATTACCCATTCGTCACGAAAAAAGTCTTCCACAATCTGACGCATTTTCATGGCGTCGTTCTTGAGCGTAGACGGTTTGAAAACAAGACATATGAAAATCCATCTTATCAGTGTGCTTCTGTCCACATATAGCTTTCCAAAATCATTCGTTCCCTGAAAAAAAGCGTGCTCGTTCCCCTTCATTGACAAATTGAAGGAAATGATTGGTAGGGTCTATTCAGAAACGTAATGGCTCATTGAGCGCAGTGTGGACTTTAAAACGATTATCGAGGACCAGTCGTGTACAAGATGGAGTTTCATCCTCCTAGACGAATTTTGTCCGGTCTACCAACCTCGGAGGCAGAGAAGCCTTGAATGGCTCGCGCAGGAAGCGAAAGGGAAATTGACCCCGGACTGACCCTATTGTAACCCTGCAAGCCTGGGCTACCAACAGCTAACCGTAAACTGCCGTGGATTTGATAAATTAACAAGTTTCGCCGACAAAGAGATGTACACATTGTTCAACTCAAAATAGTAATTAGGCCCACTTCGGGGATCAGACTGTGGGGGGGAGCATTTTGTACTTTCGTTGCTTCCCATTGTCGCTTTGAGCCATCAAGTAAGGAGCAAGTTTGTGAAACCTGGTGCAGTGCGCGCATGAAGTGATACCAGTCGAAGATTGTAGAAGCTATGTGCTAATTCTTGCGAAGGATAGCTGACAACTCTTGTGAAGTGTTAAACCTGCTTGTGGGAAGTAGCCATACTGCAGATTGCACCCCTCTCCTCCCCTATAGATAAACTGCGCTAGTAATCACAAATAACGAAGATAACTGTCTTACCTCTCTATGAATGGTTTCACAACAAGAAAGACACTTCTCAACAAAAGATTCACTGAGATTAAGTCGTCTGAATCAAAGATACCATGGTGTTTGAACTGAAAGTGGCAATTCGTAATTGAGAATAAGAGAGGTACTCACTCGAAAAGATAGCTGGGTTCCCAAGTAGTGGCATGCATTTTCAAAAAATCTACCAAAAACTCGACATTTCGACGTTCGTCACTGAAAATCTCATTTGAGAGCTTGAGAAGAATGAGGAAAAGAAAAGAAAAACAAACCTGTTTCTGTAAATGGCTACATAGATCCGTTCCCTGATAGGACCGGGCAAAAATTTTTCAAGATACATCAACACCAATCCTATATTGAACAGTATCTCAATATCCATGATGTCCAAATAGGAAATTCCGACTCTTTCATTACCCACTTGGTCACAATACCTGAAACTTTAACTCTTGACAGGAAATCAAGTTTTCTGAATCTCCGTCACTCGAAGAGATCTTGAAGCACATACAATAGCGAAAGCGGCAAACTCACTCCTTCAGACTAGACAGAAAGTTCGCAAGCGCTTGAAAAAGCGCAGAAAATCGAGTTATCAGATCTCCATTAGCAGCGTAGAAACTGTCTTGGAGCTCCTGAATGAAGTAGTGGGATACATGACAATTTACAACACACGCTAAGATAAACTAAAAGAACACATATTCTCTCGATCGCTCTCCCCTCTCCCGAAGCGCCGCTATTTTACAGTTACACCCGAAACTCGAGCCATATGAGGAGTGCAAATGACTCAACCCGCAGGATATAGAATTGTGAATGGGTGGAATAAAGGCTCATTTTCCGAAGGCAGCATGGTGGGTTCATAAGGAATGTAGCATGGCGCTAACGTAGCTGGAGGGGGGAGGAGCGAGAGATCCCTCGACAGTGTCACTGTATTCTTTCACCAAAAGGACTTATGCTCAGAGCGTAGACGACCAGAACCGCCCGAGAGATAGTCCCACAAAGGTGACACTAACCAAAGTCACCTAGCCAAAGCCTTCGGGAAGAGACAGAAAGGTGCTAACGCGTTGTCCCCCTCTTCCCACTCGAACTAGCTAGAGCCGGTAGCTGGTGGTGTGAGAGGAGAGGGTCGGATGTGTACCAAAAGGTCAGCAGCGATGCCGCGCACGTCTGAGTCGCGGCTTCCTCAGGGGTCGTAGTAAAATGGGACGGTTGACCTCGTTAATGACTTGTCGCACCTACGATTCGAGGCATAATTAAGGAGGTGCGAAGGGACCTCATTAAGCTGAGGCAGGTCAGCCGAGGCACGCACGAGCTATCAAGAATGGCTCAAATCGAGTGAAAGCTCTCAGATTGAAATACGTGAGGATCTTCCAAAGGGAAGAAGGCTTACGAAAAAGTAATACGATAAGGTAGCGCTACCTGTCAAACTAATTGGAATGGTATAATGCCTAGCTTCCAACTAAGCATCGATAAAAAATTATAAGCTCAATCATTCCAAATTTCATGACGAAAAGCTTCAAGAAGTCACGTAGAAACCCATACTGTTTACGAAGTGCATCCTTGGATATCGCTGAGCCTCATTGCCTGCCTTCAGCCTGTGAGTTCCGGTAATGACCCTCTGGCCTCTTCTATATTACCCGATAATGACTTCTTTATCACTTTGAAAGCCCTTTGGTCAAACACAACACCTCAACGAGAGGTTATGAGTAGATACTTGAGCTAACTTAAGCCGTTCCGTTTTCAGGGTTTCCACAGACCAGCAATTCATAGAGGACACTTCCACTGACTTCACCTCTAATGACCACACGTCACCTAGCCACTCCCTCCAGCTGCTCTCAAGCTAAGCGAACATTTTAAATCAGTTGCCGCAAACCGCTCACAGCGTGTTCACACTTCGCGATCGCGTGATCCGGATCGCCCGATTGCGAAGTCTGAACGCGCTCTCACTGGGATTCGCGCGACGTCGCGTGGTGATCCCTTAGGACACAACTATGGCTTTGTCGCACTGATGTTTGAATAGCATTGAAAATTAGGCCTATTTGTAAAACACTGGGAAGGGTAAGAGATTAAAAAGTTTTAAAGAAGTTTAAAAAAAGTTTATCAGAAGTTTGCTGGGAAACCAAAAAAGAACACCTGAAACATGTACCTCGTTCTCCTCGATGGTCTTTTCATAGTGGGCTGTCCGAGTGAAGTAGTTGAAGTCAAGAATCAGTAGCTTATATTTTGACGATGACGGATCTATGAAGTCCTGAGGAATGAACCCAGCTAATCTGACGATTTCCGCAAGAATACAGTTTGCTTCTTCTCGGACATTCATCAGAAAGGATTCACTAGCCGCCGATGTCATCATGTTTAGGCTAGGCATACCTAAATATTGAACGGTCCTGAAGCGCATATCCCAGCGATGGAGAGTGTGGCATCGTATTTCATTTGAAGGGGCCGCTACGCTTCTGGATGGATAAGGCATTTCAGAACAGTCGCAGCCATGACTCTGTTCAGTAAAAGATAGAACAACACTTGTATCAAATGGAAATATTCCATGAATAGCGTGGAATAGCATCCTAAGCCATGTCCCAGTGAAGAACGCAGCCACGCCCACTCCATCGCTGGGATGTGCGGTGTAAGGTCTTGTTCGCTACGGACACAGAAGCAGCCAAGGGATGGATTTGACGACTAGCCAGTTTTCCACCTATTGTGCCTGCCTGTCAGCTTCCATGAGTGACAGAGAAGTGGTTTGGCACCACCCGAAACTTACTCTGCCTGACACGCCCCTTCGTCCTCAACGAACTAGGCTATATATAGCAGATGTCAGCACAATCGCAATTCTATAATGCAGTGAAAATCGAATACTTTCTTCTCAATATTCACTGTTGCAAGCACAATACCGTCAAAGCAGAAAGGTTTACACTCCATATCCCGAAGACGAGGCGGGATGGCCGCGCACTTCACTTGAGCGCAGCTGCACTTTTGTGGGATATTGCCGTTTTGAGACGATCGCAATCACGTTATCATGCCTTTGCCGAATACAAGACAAGATGACACTTTTCTCGAACGGAAATTGTACACGAAAAACGCATCCTACGCGTGTTTTAAGCAGGTATGCGGCCACGCCCTCTCCTTCTCTGGGAGAGGCCTAAGTATGGTGCATAAATACATCAATCAACTGATAATATGTAGTGCGCAAACTGCGAAAATGTAATGGACAACCCTGAAAATGACGCCCTGAACAAGAGAGTAGCATCTGGCTTGTTGAAAGGTGTCTGCATTATTTGGAAGGGAATAGGAATTTCGGAAAGGGACCGGGATCTCAGCGCCTCACACCTTCATCTCCTAAAATTGGGGGACAAGTGGGTTGTGCTTTTGTGCCCCATTCCCAGCAGGAACTCGGGCTTAGTGATGACGGTATCTTCCTTGCGAGACTGCAGCGCTGCTGGTCGCCTGAGCTCTCAGCCTACGCCTTGATTAGGGGAAGGTTTGCAGAGTGGGGAGGTTTTGAAGAAAACAAAACCAAAAAAGTGGTAGGAAGTCCCAGAAAGTTCGGGAAGATGGTAGGAAGGATGGAGATGGGTATGAGTGGGTCGTGTTTTTGTCACCTAATGACGTACCCTGAAGGTAAATCTCTTCCTGCCTACAGTTGAGCACCAGATCCCTAATGGGCTTTCAACTATGCTAAACACGCCCCTCCCCAGCCCTCAACGGCCAGCTAGAAGGTAATCGACCGACTAAAACTCTGATTTGTCTATCGCCTAGTCCCCCAAGTCATTGTGCAGGCGAAGGCGCATTTAAAATGCCACTATGACTCATACTGGAAGAAGAATGCGTGGCGCGTCCCAAAAACTAGTTGATCAACGCCGAAAACTCTGTCCTTATACTCATCCCTTTAGCCTTTCATGTAGAAGATCGACGAAAAACTCAGCAGCTGGCCAGTCAAGGCCAGTGAAATCGGAAGAGCTCGTTTGGATGAAGGTCAAGCTTGCGTCTTGGGAATTGATGAGGAGTGTTATATCTATCTGTCACATAAATTGACACCATGGACCTGGAAATACAACCCACGGGGATTGACATAGAGCTAAACAACCCGCTGGGGTTCAAATAGAGGTAAACACAAACGCAACCGAACGTTGTGGGAGCTGTGGTGCGTCACGTACTCTATCATTTAAACGACGTCACTTTCTGACGTTTTGGCGTTTTTGTGGTTTGGCTTTTTTTTCGTTTTCGAGGAGTCCTTTGGCTAGTGCAGTACACCAGGTTATTCTCTGGAGTCCCATGAAAATACCTAATTTTTGGTCGGGGTCGTAAAGGTTCGCTGCGCCTTTACGTTAACTAGGAACAGTAAGTTCTCAATGACACTCCTTTCAGAATCAGAAGACTTCCATCCACTGCTGTCCTTAAGCCTCTGTGCTTTCACTCTACTACTTTGAGAGTACGTTCATACTGCACGATTTAGTCGCGTGAGCGATCCCATCACGCGCGCGGCTGAAGCGAAGTATGAACACGCTCTGATTGTTTGTCACATGCTTATCTTTTCGTCTGCTGCACTCGACCTCGATTTCCGATCTATATCTGAACCTCTCAGTTCTCTTTCATGCTTCGCAAACAGGCTGGCCTCCATGTCCTGAATTTTGAAATTCCCTCAGATAAAAACGTATGCCTTTTTCGGACCCGCACTCTCTTATTTCGCGAATTCTCCTCGTTAGCAAGATGTGAGCGTGGTCTTACATACTCATGTTAGGGTAGAATAAGCCGTGCTCGCAAACGGGTCAGTGAGAAATTTCGCCCCGAGGAAAGCGTAGGTATCGCTCTGGCGACTTTGAAGAATAGGAGAATGCTCGCCAAAGGTTTAAATAGTAATCGATCGAATCCGATTCTCCTATTCTCTTATTTCGCTGGCGATCGGTAGTCAGTCGACTCTATCCTTTCTCCTCCTTCTTTCCATACACCTATTGTCCCGTGTTGGAAAGTATATCGCAAACAGGCGAATCTTTTCAATAGGATTCAACAGAATTATTTTTTTTCCTCTCCTAGAATCTCAGAGCGTGAAGATTGATTGCCATACTGATAAGTGGAGCGCGCTTTCAGCTCAGTTATGGCTGTTTTCTGATTGCGATAGTCGAAGTTCAATAGCTGGGAGAAGGTCTCTGAATGATAACCGAGAAATCGACACTTTCGCACCTTGCACAGTGCTATCGACTGTTTTAATGCATTTCTTTTCCTTCAAGTATATCGGCCCCACCCAGTTATATCGAGCATGTTTTAAAGGCCATTTTTATAGATAGTCATAACAAGAAACTCTTGCTTTAGAACATAAGTTCAGTAGTTAAAATTTAACTAATTGTTATTCGTGGTGATATCTCATCGCGATTTTCTTTTCCGGGCTACTCGCTAAAAAGCAAGAAAGCGAGAATAATGAAGTTTAGCTGTTTCTTGAGCTGTCTCCCTCCTCTTCCGCCTCTCCCCCCCGGAATTTCCATCTGTCTTCCCTCCCTTCCCCTTCTCCCCCCCCGAATTTCCATTCTCCATCTCTGATACGAATACAAAAACAGTTGTCCGAGCGGCACTGCCAAATGGTGGGCGCGGGGCGGAGGAGGTGGGGGGGGATCAACCATCGAAAAGTGCTCCCGGATGCGAATACGACCAATGTGATAGCTTTCACTCAGCGGTATGAACGCCTCTTCTGTTACGCTCGATTCTAGTTTTGTAGCCCAGGTGGAGCTGTGAAGCTTCCTTACATTGTGAACTTTGCAGAATCAGCTGCCATTCTTTCTTTACAACCTAATCAATTTTTCGAGGATTGTGGCGCACAGAGTGAGCGCTGCAAAGGACCCTTTTTTCGCTCTTCAGGTCATTGGACGCCTTTTTCACCATCACCCGTTACAGTGTTTCTCGCCTCCCTTTCACTTTTATCAAGTTAGACGTAATTTTATAGTTAACTGGACCGAACATCACTATTAATTCTCGACTGTCAGCTACGAGGTTGAAAGACGTGGCGGCTTCTTATTCCAAAGTGTTCCGCAAAAGTTTTTTCTCCCAACAGTTTTATGATTCAAAGCCCTCTTTTCATCCTCTGTTCCTCCTATTTTTTGCCCTTCTATTCGTAGGCTCTAAAGCAGCCTAATTGATTCTGTTACTGCGCAGTTTGCAGGAATCACAGAGTTAGCTGCGTTTGGGTGTCTGTGCCTTGGATTGTTACGAAAATGACCTGAACAGACCCCTCTCCGGTACCACTGTGTCATACTAAATCGGATTACAAGGTCAACAGTATCCCTGATGTTTACCTGCAAAGCGCTCTTCGTAATGGTCGCAGTGAAAATATTCGTAGAGTAAAACGTGGCGAAAGTCATGTTTCGTTTCCTGACCTTCAGATCTTATTATCGGAGAGTGCTGGCTTGACTACTTCTTGGCTGGAAATCTGGTAAACACGTCTCGACGCCCTCCGCATTAGGTCATTTGCGCACGCCGGCAGTCTAAAAGTGGTTCGCCTTTTTGACACGTGAATTAACAACTGTGAAAAGGAGAGATTGCGTCATCCATTAGTGACACGCAAATAGTTACTCCATTCCTTTCTTCTGAAAGAGTTCCTCACCTTGCGGACTGCCTCACTATAAGTCTCTCTGATTTCCATGCTTTATTTCGCTTTGTTTGGAGCAATCTTCCTTCAATGGCGGCCTTCCATCCTTCAGTGCCGTTGGATTGCCCAGCAGTAAAACGTTGACCCACCCTAGTAGTCACTGTAAAACGGGTGGTGATACATCCCGCTGAGGGATTTATGATTTATTACCCGCTTACCTTTCGCCACCCACGCTGCGCCACACTAAAAAAAGGACACACACCAAACACATCTCCGCACTAATCAACATAGAACATCAGTGGAAGACAGAAGGAAGTGCTGGCGGTGTTAAGAGGAGCGTAATCAGGCCAGAAGGGCAGTGGCTGTGCCACAACACGCAACATCCATCGCCGGCATCATAGGACTTCCGTGATACCAGCTAGTAGTCGTCGCCAACATTACAAGACCCAGGTCCAACACCGCAAAGCTAAGGATTAGCAATGAGGCAACTAAGTAGAAATATACATCTTGAATCGTAACGCAAAATCAACAATTTCAATCTAAGGTCGCACTTAACAACACAGCTTTTAGGAAAATACAAAAATCACTCTAATCGGCACACTCCAGCCGTTCAAAGTGTAATAAATTAGTTTCTGTTCTCAGAACCACTGGGAACAGAAACTGATAATACTGGGATGGATGTACAGTCCATAGCTGAGGGCAAAAAGGGGCGCTTCCAGGCACGTGGCTGTGAGCATGGCGATTTCTGCGAGGGCTCAGACTGAAAAGACGTAGAGAGGTATATTTAGGAGAGATTTCAGTCGAGACTACCGCAAGCCAACCATAACCGCTCGCTCTTGCCCCCTCATATTGTCGACTGTCTGATTGGTAAAAATAGCTAGGTTTCTATTCCCGAAGCTGGATGGAGCAGTCCTGTGGATTCGCCGTGCGAGGTTATTTAATAAAGCGATGTGGTCTAGTGGCTATGTAACGCTATCACGCACGTGGTTCGTTTTCAAATCCCCGCTCGGCTCCCACTCAGGCTAACCAAACTTTCCACCCTACGGGAACGATAAGTTGGTAACACATTCTTCTGGGAGTAGAATACTGACTTATACATGGCTGGCTCCCGCAAGTCGTTGTATGGACCATATCGCTTTCAGTAAGCCACTACGATTCTAAATGAAAGTAAAATGCGTATCATATCAATCCCACAAAGGGATTGATTAACGGCGAAGACTTTACTTTGGCACTGAGCTTGAGAATTCTTTCTCAAAACACCGCAGTTCTCTAAAATTTGTGCAATTAGTGCTGAGTTCTTATTATCAGTGCTGGCAGAAATGTATTGGCCAAAAAGTGCTCACGAGGGAAACGTGCGTGACCGCATATGGAATTCTGCGTATTTTGTTGCCCATTACTTCAACAGCATGCTGATTCTCCTCTTTCTTCTGTTGGCGCCGTTTGTTCATGATTTTTGACACCCTATACACGCCTCACGTGAGCACGGCTTTCCTTTGCTTATGAAGCGGGCTAACTGGTTTGCTGCTTATAGTGTTCATAATGTTGTAAAGCATTTAACTACGAGAGGGACGAGGGGTGTCGTTGTTGGCTTTCTTTGATTGCTTTAATTCGTCTTCGTTTTCGCTATTCTTCTGAAAAGCCTGTAGGGTAGTACTGCTGCGTATCGAAATAATTTTTGCACTTTATCCCCATGACGTTGTGTGTAACTTATTGATTGCTTAGCTCAGATTTCAGTTCATTGGGATTTGTGCCTGAAACATTGTTTCATGAAATTACATCAAGTTTCATCATTGTCTTCATCTATCATTTAAACGATTACCTGAAGCGAGCTAATCATTTCTGCTGCAATTGCCCCGCCGAATTATTTAGGCTTCCCCTTATACCTGTTATGTTCGTGCCTTCGTGAATTAGCACTGTGTTCTATGTTTGTGCATGATGCATGATTCAAAGGCGTGGGCCGTGTTCATTTGATGTTCGGACGCCTTCTTTGGACATAATGGTCCTGTGCGCAACCCCGTGGAGGGTGTGCTGTTATAATTTCGCGGCTCAAAAAACACGAGGAAAGCGCTGCCGCTCGTGCAGAAACTGCCACCTCGCCCACTGACCGCCACAGTGCCCACGATCTCTTTAAACGGTTTACCTGTAGTGCATTCTTCCATCATTCTCAGCCATGGACTGCTCTCCCACCCCTCTCCTCGTCAATTGAATGGAGAGTGAGTTAAGCAAAGAGCTTGCACCCGTAGAGTCGATAAACGAGCCTGCAGTTCATATATCTGACCATTTCCAGCTTTTTCTTACGGCTGAATCACATTTACTGTGCTTGTCAGACCCCATATCCACCAGCATTTTTGAAGGGCGGCAAGGTTCTGATCAATTTGAATCATTGCCATAGTACAAAGGGCAGGTTGCGCCAATGACTGATCGAACTTGGCTGTTAATTAAATTCTTCAGCATATCTCGCCTTGATTATTGGCATTTGTCCTTCTTTTATTTCCCCTGCGAAGTATTCTTGTCATCTAAGGCTTTCTCTATAGTCCAAAATTGACAAGGATAAAAACTTCTGCTGAATAAACGCTTGGCGAGTTTTAACGTGCGTTCCACTACCTGCTGAGTACTTTGGAGAGACCAGCTCGCCCTCTTTATTTTATCCTGTCCCTTCTTTTAATTCGAACGCCTAATTACTTTAGTGTTACTAGTATTATGTTTCTCGCGAGGGACTGCTTTGAAGACTCTGGCAAGCTCTAATCCTTTTGGGCAGTGTTAGACAGCAGCGGGACCAGTAGTGCTCCTTCACCGTAAGGAGTGTAAAAAGTTTGAATGATGAGTACGTGAAGAGCCATTTTTTATCTCCTCCTCACCAGTCTGCTGTACGCACACTGCACTCACATCCACATTTGTCCCCGCCAAATAACGAATCTTCACCCTCTAGTCGGCCCTGCCCTGAATATGATGAGCTCTACCTTCCAGCTCTCTTGTGTGTCCTGAAAATTAATAATTTCATAGAGCGTTACTCCCTATATGTGGCACATGCTGATTTGAAGATTTTGGAAAAAGTAAACTTTTGACTTGACTATATCCTCAGATAGTTGGACCTGACTCTTCACCAACTCACAAATTTCGTTTTTTTTGCTTGGCTGTCATGAGCCCCACCCTTGAGCATCTCCATAACGGGATATTCTTTCTCGTTCAAAACAGTCTGTTTTGTGTTGGCTATAACGTATTGCAGCACATACGAATGGTGGGCTAAGCAGCCTCTGAACTTTGTGCGGTCTTGTAGCGATCAAAAGAGGGTGTCCAACGTTTGATGTGCCGAAGGCTTCGGGCGAGAACCACTACTGCTTGGGAGATCTCCGAATCATGTGTGCAAGCGAGCGAGGACCTTATGGATTGGGGGGGGTGGGTGTAATTTTATGTTACTTTTAACTTTTCCTACCTTATTAGCTCTTCACATTTTCGGTTCTCTGAACGCATAGAGAAAATTCGAGCGCTACGGCGGCGCGGCGAAGCCAACCGCTCACTCTTGTCGTCAGCGCTCAGTTTAGGTTGAACTTTGGAAGGGTAGGGATCACTCCGCGCCACCCGCGCCGCTGCAACGGCTGCGCGGAGTTCGGTGTCGCGTGACTGTGCCTAATGCATGCGTTCACTAACTTGTGCACCCGCTGTGGTCGCGCGTGGTCAATCGCCTGATTGATGCAGTTGGAAAGTATGCGCATCGGTTGCGGTCGATGCGCGATTTGGCAACGCTGGGTGCCGTCGCGAAGTCTGAACGCGGCCAAAAAGTGAGGCGATAGCTAGGATTCTTTGGAAGGCTTTTTCATTTTGAGCTGAGAGGCGTTCACAAGATGGTACGGTATGGGGTTAAGAGATTGGGGAACTTCTTTCACCATTGGCGAAGGGTATGAGGACGTCAACAGCGGATTTTCCTCTCTTTTCCTCTCTCTCCTTCTTTCTTACTTCATTTCTTTCGTTTCTTCTGCCTTTCTTGCTCCTTCTGCCTCATTTCCCCTCCACCTTCCAAAATCCTTACGGGAGAAATCTGGTTAACAAATACCGTCTAGCGCGTGCCGCATCATTAGTTGGGCGATTTTTAGTCCTCGAGGACTGCCCCTTTTTCAAGGGGGTTGGCTTACACCTCCCTAGTCTTCCTTCCCTGATCGCAGCTGTGGAGGGATGGTATATTGCTGGCGCAGATGAAACAGGAAAAACGGCAAATAGTTAGTAACCTCTCTCAGAGGACCAGGAGGGAGATACGACCCCCCCCCTCCCTTCAGAACGTACCTGAAACAACAAATGCATCTATCAAAAATTTTCGGTTACAAGTACTGACCCCCGTCTCTCCCAGAACGCCGCAATAGCGACCCTCCGCCCTGTTAATGGAAATCCTCAGACGATGATGTTTCCATGCTGGGCAACATTCATTGGTATGGCGGGATTTTTAGTCGACTTCTATACGACGGCCCCCCCCTCTTTTTTTATGAGTTCTACGACCCCTCCGCCCCATGTCCTTGCCTCATCGAATCGAGCCGTCGGGGGAGGGGGATGGGGGTGAATAGACAGTGTGAAACAGTGAAAAGCCGCAAACAATACTACCCCCCCCCCTTTTACACGCCAGATTTCCCCATACTTCCTGCTTTTTTTTGTAAAATTCCGAAAACTTCCCCTACTCTTTACCAAAAATTTTGCTGTCGAGCGGGGCATATAGTACGCATGAAACAGGAAAATCACCAAAAGTCAACCGCCACTCCCACAACGCCAAAACGTAAATACGACCCCCCCTCCCAAAAATGATCAAATACGACCCCCCCTCCCTTACATCATAACTTGTTATACGTCCATAAGCGAGAAAAATCGAATTCAAATAAATTTTCCGGCTCAAGTACGACCCCTCTTCTCTCCCAGCGACCAAATGCGACCCTCCCCCCTCTTGGGGAATCCGCAACGATGATGTGCCATGTGCCCCACTACTCCAAAGAGAGAATTCACAAGTGTTTACCTGTGAAAACACGTTTTTACACTAACTTCCGTCAACGTTCTCTTAGCTGTGTCCCAGCAGAGCGAGCGGGAAGAGACCATATCTCATGGCTGTTAGTTCTTTCCATTGGTCATGTTGTAATGTATCGATTGTGATGGGAGCCTTTTGTCTGCCATACTTTTGGCTACCTGTTGCTCTGGGTATTAGATTCGTGTGGTTTGATGACCTTTTGTTCCAATACAGCTTTACAGTAACAAATTTTTTGCAGATGAGTCGTGAACTTCGGGAGATACCAATCTCTGAAGTTGAAGAACATTCAACGATTGGGTCATGCTGGATGTTTTACACGATAAGGTGAGCATTCGGTCATGATATCCATCGCCCTTAGTATTTGGCGCTTTGCTGTATCTACCTGAAGTTTTTAATTGTTCCCGAATGTCAGAGCGTTTTCATCTGCCACGAATCCATCCTATCCCTTCATCCATCTTAACCTTGATTTCGGTTCTAAATTTCGGTCTCCATCATGTGCGAAGGGAACGGGTTCGCTCGAAAGTGCATTGGAACAGGCAGTGACTAGTGCCACCTCAAGTGCCGCTTTACTCCGTCGCGCATCTTCACGGCAGTAATCTTACCTCTTTTCCTTCCTTTGCGGTGAACTGGGCCTGGAGGGTACTGTACTTTGGTGTCCCGTGTCATTACTTTCCGCCGCAGGCAATGGCAAGGCGGCAGGCGTTTGCATCGACACTAGTCCCAGTAGGAAATAGTGTTCAGAAAAACTAGAATTGAAGCGCGCTGACCATAATCATGTTTGCTCTTAGTTAGGCGTTGTGGCCTAGCGCGGCGATCATGCGCGGATGAGCACCCCGTATAACTTTTCAACTCACTTCCCTGTCGCATTTTTAACCGGAAGAAACTGGTACGCTACTTACAACTAACGATGCGTTCACATACAGACTCGCGCATGACAGGATCCAGTTTCTTATACAGTTTGCATTTTGACGGTGGAGCCCGGCTGTTGCTGCTTTCGAAGATCGGCTTAGTCGCGAGTATGATCGCTGCTATATAAGCCATTTACACAATTGCCGTTCAGTCGACTTGACAGAAGAGTCAATCTCCAGCTGCTGTTGATCACCGGATTAATTCGTTGCTTTTATTCCAGCTATCAGTCCCTATTACACGCGTTTTATTCACGCCGCTGCATGCCGAAACACCGGTTTGTTTAGAACGAAGCAGTGGCAGTAGCGTAGTGTCTATTTCCTGATAGGCCCTGCTTACCTCCCTCATTCAGTACTCACACTCCATCGCCGATAAAAACTCATTCCCGCAAAGGGTAACGCATATTTTCCTATGCCGGGAGAAAGCGACATTCTCGCTGCCTTTCCGTTCGTCTATGTCTCTCATGTCGTTACGGCACACTGCACACCCTAGGGCGATGAGTGGCGTGGCTCGCCGACTTTACTTTGAACCATGCGTAGCCTGCGCTATTCGTGTGTAATTTCCCCTTGTACACACGTGGCTGCTATCTTTTGCGACAGAGTCATGGTTGCGGACTGTTCTGAAGCCGCATTATCCATCCAGAAGAGTAGCTGCCGCCACGTTCAAATGAAGTACGCAGCCACGGACTCTCCATCTCTGTGATATGGGGGTAGATCTAACCGCATCATCGCGGATGCACTGAACTCGCCAAGTTCGCGATCATAAGCGGAACACCTGTCACCTCTAAATGCTTGACCGCCGCAATAGCAGAATTCAAACTGGGCCCGTGTTCATACAGATGCTGGTTCTGCCTCCGGTTGCGTTCGCGCCATCCAATCGCCCGAGCACGGCCACGTATCGTTCCGGCAAAGTATTAAAGCGCTCGGTCTACGCTCACAAGCAAGAGACCGCATCGAGTGAGAATGCATAATTGTACTACCCATACTACGCCATTGTTAGGCGCAGAACTGTATCTTCATGTACCTTCAGAAGTTTGCACGTCATTGTGTTATCCCACCTTCTTTTTAGGTTTACGATGTCAGCTCCTTCCTCAGTGAACATCCTGGAGGTTTTCAAGTGATCGCTGAACTCGCTGGAAAGGTATAATCTAACCTACTATGATTATGTTCTGTTTTTTGTACGGGCAATCTATTTTCCATCAGGATGCCACTGCTGCCTTCGAAGACATCGGACATTCAAAAGATGCCAAGGATATGGCCAAAGAATATCTCATAGGTCAGTTTTTGAATTCATTGCTGTAATCATAGTCAGATGGAATGAGTTTATGGGTTCTAGGAAATGTGAAACCCAACACCTCAACATCAACAAAGTCCCATGACTCGAAGGAGGTAGGATGTTCAGTATCCTGTGCTCTTAAGAATGTAAAGGACGTGATTCTATCCCCAACTTGGTCTAATTTCCTCATTCCAACCACCATTGGAATAATCATATTTGTCCTTTACAAAGGAGCTGTTAAGATGTTTGAGTAAGCAGTTTGTTCATGAGGTATACGATGCCTTTTTTGTATTTTCCTATGAAACAATTTCCAAACTGTTGATATACTGTAGGCAACGTTCTATCCTGGTTCCATATTTTTTCAGTAGAGAAGTCGGCTGGTTGTTGTTCACTACGAGTTGCATCTATAATAAATTCATGTATGTTCAAGTGCTTCATAGAATGATGCCCCAGTGCCGTTGATTATGTGAAATATCTACAGCTCATAAATTATTGTTTGTCTTTTTTTTTTTCTGTGACGAGGTGGTTTATCCATGGTAATTCTACCAAATTTTTTTTCGATCAGTGAAAAATTACTTTCTTGTAATGGACCCTGTGACACTGCGGTCCCGACCCGGCATCTTTAAGTGATTGGTAGTGATCCCTGCTCTGTGGCATTTAGCGATTAGGATCCTATAGAGCCGTGGGTGATGCCACAACAGGTGGGTGGGGTTACCGCGCTGAACAACGCCTTTAGCACCCTTGTCACTTTGAAACTGCAAAGATGGCACAACATCTGCGATTGTGAACCGAACTACTTTTCTGAATGATATGTAGCTTTTAGCCCGGTCCGCAGTCGCACAGGTGTACCACTTTTGCGGCATGAATGTGACAAGGGCACTGAAAGCATCATTCACCGTAGTCATGTTACCCACTTATTGATGACTCCACCCCCTACAGCTCTACTTTCGTATGGTAAAGGGTGAGGGCTTTATCTAGGGTTCTCCCATCCTGATCTGTCGGTGAATAGCTAGCATCTGACAGTTCATATTTGGACGTCATTACCACAAATCAGTTCTTGGAATGTGTCCCTATTTATATCACATTATTAGTGTTCGCACTGCACGGCATGTTAGCGCTTAGGATTTTACTACTGGGGCTCGTATTTCAGTACTCCCCACTAAACCCTGCGCTGTGATTGGACTTTGTTGTTGTTGTTCGTTGTTGCTTAGGTTCACTCAGTAGCAAACTACTTTCATGCACTCCAATATACACTCACCTGGATATGGGGAGGGTGTTCATTTTAAGGTGGTGGCGACTGCGCTGTTGGTGAGATATTGCCATTTTGGACAATTGTAATCATGTCTTTGTCAACGCAAGGCGGATGGCAGTGACTTCAAAGGAAAATATCCTGCCAAAAACGTCGTGTCCAAATGGTCTACGGGCTTTTGTCAACCGCGGCAATGGGTGACTCAGCAATTTGTCGCGTCGTCGGTCGTCTCGCACACTCTCGTCGACGCTGCGTCTCCGCTTAGAAAGGCTAGAGCGTAGACAGAAAGGCATCCACCGATCCCGATTGCCGACGATCACCAGTTCACGTGATTGTTGCGTGCTTTGCTCGTGTTTGGTCACTCTCCGATGCTAATGATTCGTTAAAAAAATAGGAAATCAAGAAGATCTTAACTATAAGAAGGAACTCAGTCCTTCTCGCTTCTTACTTCAAGTATTATTCTTGAAGTGGAATTGGTGTTTGTTGGAAAACAATTGTGGGAATCACCATGCGATTCATCTTTAACCGTTTACAGATCCAAAAGCAACGGGAATGCAGCGCATTTGTTCTCTCGTTCAAGAGCTGGGAGGGAATGAAAGGGGGTGGTGATCTATTGACCAAGAGTTTTGTTCTGCCATGCGATTCATAACACTGCATTTATCAGAGAACTTTTATAACCAGTATAAGTTGCGGCACAGTAGTGCGGATATATGCGATACCGAACATAGAGAATTTCTCAAAAGTGAGCACCTTGTGGGAAGGATGAGCGAGTACAAGAAAAAACAATAAATGGATATTTCCACAGTACAATAGTACGGATACATGTTACTAAACATGGAATGTAATGGGCAAGTATGAGATCCTACATGCTACACTAAACGAGACGAGTTAGGGAATGGGACAAGTATGAGTTCAAACAATATATGGAATCAGTTACAACTAATGAGCCAGTCTTCTAGCCAGAAAATCTAAGAAATCTTTGCAATCTCTCGTGGTGGGAGGGACCCCACGAGAAATGTGGGTTTCACTGAATCTTCGAAGTTCAGCAGTGATTTCTTGTTGTCGTTGCTGCTCCTGTGGCCTGACGTAAAGCACGCGAGCTCCTTCTTCTGCTGGTGCAATGAGCGACTTTCCAATGGCCAGCTGGCTCTGAATAAACAAGAGCATTTGTCTGAGAGTTGGGATACCCCTTGGGAATGTCGCCCGTATTTTTGTGTGGAAACCTTCTGCCACGTTGGTGGTCCGCATTCCTAGGTTACGCGAGTGGTCCCACAACCCGGAAAATCGCCCTCCCGCTCCCCAGTTGTCATGCCAGTACCGTAGAAACTGGAGAAGCCCTGCGTGCTCCAAAGGCGTGATGACAGGAGGTTGTGGGACGACGAGGGCCTCTGATATCCTGTGGAATTGTGGGTGTAGTAGAGGCAGCATCTGAATACGACGGAAGAAAGTGCCAATTATTGGGTTTTTTGCTGCCGCCGCTTTCAGACGCAGCACGTCTCGATGACGGAGGATGGCTTGGGTGTAGTGGAAGAAGCACCTGAAATAATAGAAAAAATTATGAGTGACTTTGCAATTACTGTGATCTTACCCCTTCACTACGATCGGCCATTTCGATGGTCGCCGCGTTGATTGCGGGGAGTTCGAAGTCGAATAAGAAGGTACACGTTGGGGGCAACACTGCTCCTTGACGACCGATGTTGACCAGAAGATTCCAAAAGAAGCCGAAAAGGTGGCGATATGTTTCCTCAGTCCCATCTGGTATGAATGCAAACAACGAGGGGATAACAGCCCCCTCATTAAAGACACCCAGAAGGGAGTAAAACTGGGAGGAGGCTCTCCTTCTCAATTGGGCCGGGATCTGTTTGTAAGCGGCCATCACACTGAAAAGCAAAAGGTGAGAGCGCATCAATCACTTCGTTGGCATTTTTATGGAATTTTGCTTACCGTGACATTCGTCAAAGTTAGCCGCCCCAACGCAGCTGCAATCAGCGATGGACTACCAAAGTACGCCCTGTTGGGCTCGTCGAGCAGAATGAAGCTCTCATGGTCGGCGGGGCACCTGCAGCTCGTAGGATCCTGTAATTTTCTAGAGGGAATAAGTGTGGGATGGGTGTTGCTGTGAAATACTTCAGACTTACAAGCTGCCCTGGTGCCATGTCTCCGTCTGCCCTACGTCTAGCACTCGTTTGTGCCCGACAGATCACTCGTAGAGTGTTATCCCTTCCACGATCTGTCGGCTGGATCACCTGCTCGACCATTGCGCGCCTCTCCGGCTCCGGTGAAGTCCACCTGAAAGTGTGAGCTTTGTAGTTGGTATTCATATGCAGGAAACCTAACAAGAGCTTTTCGCGAACTTACTGAATCTATCCGATGAGATTCTTCGAGAGGAGCTCCGCTACCTCTACCGCCGGTGGCTGCAGCCTTTCAGGTTCAGTTCCTCTGATTTCCATGCACCGTTCTACTATAAGGCGCCGCGCGAAAGACCTGGGTGTTGATCGAGGCTCACAGAAAGTGATCATTTCGTGGGTGTATGGGATCCGTGATGAAACGACCATTTAAAATGTGGCATATTGGAATGGGGTCCGGATGAGCCTGTCGATCCGCCGTTTTCAAGGCTCTGCAGCCAGAACACATGTAGAGGTAGGTGTGTCCATCAGCGAGTCGTTTCTGATAGTGCCACTCATAGCAGAGTTCGTGGTCGTCCGGGAATATAGCTACTGCTATGTCGGCTCCTCCTTGTCGCTGTGACGGGACGAAGTTGGCTTCGATAGGCTGGAATTCCATAGCAGCACCGTTTCGTAACAGTAAACTGTTTGAGGATCTACCGAAAGTCTGTGCCCCTTATATACTATATTTCAAACGACCGGAAGTCGACCAGGGATTCACTCAGGAACCGCGCTACCGGAAGTCTACCAGGGATTCGAACTCAAGACCGCGCTCACCACTCGGTCCTGAGTTCGAATCCCTGGTAGACTTCCGGTCAACTTCCGGTCGATTTCCCGCTCAGGCCAACCAAGCCTTCTACCCTTCCCCATAAATTGGTAGGAGTTTCGTTTGAGAGGATAATAACACTGACTTGTACATCGGCTGACCCCCCCCCGCAAGTCATTGTATAGGCCACATCGCATTCAATAAGCCACTACGATTCTGAATGGAAGTAGAATGCGTGCCGCATCCCAGGAAGTAGAATGCGTGCCGCAACCCACGATGGGATTGTTAAACGGCGAAGACTTCATCTTTTATCTTATCTCATAACCTGGGTGGACTACCTACCTAACACTTTGCGTAGTTTTCGTGGCTAGCTATCATTCCTGTTATTCAAGCCGTCCACCTTTCCCCTTATTTCAGCTTTAAATCCTGTTAACCTTAAAATTCACCCTCCAGTCGCCACTGACACAAAATAAGGGACGAATAGTGAATCCTCAAGGTGTTCTCATTCAGTCTTAACCTCTCGTGGCTGAAATCAC